GTGCTTGGGTTAGCGTCGATATGCACGGCCTTCCTAACCTGGGTGCGCCAGTTAAGTCAATGCTCTTGCACTAATCTGGGCGTCACTTTGCCTTCAGCCACAAAATACGCACAATTCCTGTTGACACCCAAATTCTGGGGCAAGCCCGCATCTTTTGCACTATGCACTCCGCTGTGAATTTGGCTAAGTCTTCAGTTTATGCCAAACCACCAGGCCACCTGTCTTTTCTAGAGACACTTCAGCTTGACCCACCTCCTTTAAAAGGCAAGACGAGCTCCCAAACCCCGCTTTATATCCCGGCTTATAAAAAAATTGGTGTCTGTGCTCCTCCTGACATATATGAAGAAGAGCAGTGCCGTTTTCCATGCTGAAGGGCTCTACAGATAGCTATCAATATGGCACGTCGAAATTGTTTTGGTCAAATTTTTGTGACTCGCACCTTTTTGACATGTGTTTGCGGGATGTGGATAACGGACAAGGCTCTTGGAATAACACTCATGCCATTGTGAGCAACAGGGCTACAAGTTGGTGAAAACGGCACTGACAAACCATGGTGCTGACCTTCTGGCAGACATGTCCCCAGGCAGTGACAGGCTTCAGTGTGGGAACTCGTCAGTCCTGTGGTTCGCAGTCCATACTTCACTGCTTACATCTTGAAGGCACTTGGGGATGGGAGGAATTATAGCGATTTTTAATATCTTTATGACTGCAGTCTATTCAGATTTTGAGAAAAGGGGGTTGGCTGTTGTGTGCTTGAGGCATGCATTGAACGCTTCGAGTGTTGCAACAGACATATGCGCATGATGTGGACATTCCAGCCTTGTCTGTCGACCAGATGACCTCCCAGGCTCAGGGTGTCCTCAAGGCCTTGCGAGACGACCTGGTGAGGCTGCAAGATGCTCAACACCAGGCTGAGCGAAACTTGGGGAGAACGTCCGACACAGTGCAAAGCACCCTTCAGGAGGTTGACTCCCTGAAATCGGAGCTTGCTGCAGTGGGTGTGAAGTATGCGGACATGCAGGAGCTGAAGGCATACGTTGCAGATCTGTGTGACTGCCTAAAGGTGGTGCATTGCTTCACAGCTTTGAAAACCTTCCGTTCATAATCAATGTTTCACATCTGTCTTTTTAGCAGTTGAATCTCACATTTGGATCTGTTCTATTGCTTGTTGGTGGTTAGCATCACCTCCACGAGCTGCTGCATGGCTTGAGAATTCTGACAGACAATGAGCCTGATTGGGGGCTTGCAGCCAGGCAAACTTGTGCTGAGCATGAGTGTGATGTGGAATCCCCATCACATTTTAGGATTGAGCATCGGTGAGAATGCTGGTTGCTCTCTGCTGTGTTTTGTTCCCATTGTGGTTGAGGAAGATCAAGAAAAGGCTGCCCAGAAACATTGCATGTTGGTCAAGTGCAGCACCCTGTCATTGATTGTGTCTTGACTGTAAAATTGTCTTTCGAAATACCTGGGCTTGATAATGTGATTTAATATTCATTTTGAAATAGATAAAATCACTCATTGTCTGTTTGACAAAAAGCAAAACCTGTCATGCTTTGAGCACCCTACCCATCCATCCCCAAAGTGAGACATGTTCGTGCAGTGCATAATGCTGCTGAACTTTGGCAAGGACAAGAAGAACAAATGGAATTTTTAGCAGGGGCATTGGCACTGTCTTCTTTGTCATTCCAGGATGCATCATATTCAAATGTCCAGGTGCCATGCTCACTCCCACATGAGATATGTGGACCTTGCGCAGTCTAACAAGAAAGTGCAATGCTGTGTAAATCCCAAAGATGGATCACCTATGAGTGCGCAGTTTCGAAAAAGAGAAATTGATACTCCAGGTGTGTTCGCACTGGTGTTCTGATTGCTAAGCTTCGACAGCTGCAGCAATTGCACGTGTTTTGTGCGCATCTGAGGGGTATCATGACCGATTTGATGTCACCATGCGTAAATCTTCTTCAACTGCAGCTGGTTGGCACCAATAATGAAGATGAGACTATTCCATTTGCCTCGAATATGATGCTTGGGAATGGCGCCAATACCTGTAGTCGAGACAAGATCCATCATTTCCTGAAGTTTGTCGATGACACAACCAAGTCCTTGGCTGCGTGCATATGTGCTCTTGGTTCAGCCTGGCTGTGAACTTTTGAGATTGCTTGTTGTTCACTGTTCAGAGCAAGGCAGCATATGTTGAGGAGCTGGAAGATCACATGAAATCGCTTATGGAGGAGAGGGCAAACAGTGCTGCAGAGATGAGGGAGGTGGGTGAACACCAAAATTATTTGGCTTGGTTTTGTTTCCAAAGTTCTGTTAATTTACAAAGATTAAGTTGCTATTGAGCAAAGAGGATCTCACTTCGCAGTCACCACTGTGCAAAACCAACTGGCGGCACGGAGCCCAATTACCAAAGCTATTTGGGGATGGTTTTGACAGGTCGAAAATGTCTGCAGGCGGTAAAGTTCACAGGACAGGACAGTATATGGGACAACAAAGCTTGTGAGCAAAAACTTTGCAGACATTAGATTTACTCGAGATCCGTGATATTTTGTGTGGTTGGAGCTTTCTTGAATCTTCAGTAAAGCATGTGACGAAATCGAAAGATGTCTTTTTGGGAAGTCTAACCAGAGCTTGTGTTGCAGTTGTGCGAGGGAGTTTTCCTTGTTGCTGTGAATCTTTTAGATTCATGTCCCAAAACAGCAAAAAAGCAGTCCTTGCTCCTTGTAGACGATCATGGTATTATTGCAAAGACCAAAATATTCCCCAAGAGCTCGCCTATCCCTATGCGTGCTTCTCTTGTTCGTGACATGTGAAACAGGCTCGGCTGCAGCACATGGTGCAAAAAATTGACACCAACGTAGAAGTGAAGAAAGAGAAAAATTACAAAGACAATGGTGTGAATTATTTAGTGTGGAAGTGCATTGCATTCGTTTGTTATCTTTGTTTTATGTAATAGAAAGCTCCACCTGTGCTCTTCTTCTCTGTGCAGCCCAATTTTCGAGCCCACATATGCACATTGCTGAACATGGCTGAAAGTCAGTGGACACAAATACGTATTGCAAGTGCATTCTTGTCAGTCTTTATGCAGCTGCGGAGGCTGCAAGCTGTGTTGTTGAAATGCTATGTCATAGAAGTCCTGATTGGTTGAGGCTGGAAATCTGCTTTGACTGCAGTCAACAAATGAAGAGGACTACAAGATTGCAGACGCGTCTGTCTCCAGTGCTCTCGATGTTCTATCCCGTGGAGGTTCGCATGCAGCAGCTGCAAAGGCAGCTGAAGATGCAGCCAGTGCAGTTGAGGAAAAGCTGCAAGGGGTTGGGTCAACCCCTGAACTAGATGAGTTTGGGCGCAACATTAATTTGATGCATCAGGCAGCTGCCAAAGGCAGGGCAGAGGCGCGAAAAGCCCGGTGGGAGAAGGAACGTCAGAAGGCAAAGGACCTGGACTTTTCAAGTGAAGATGTCAACAGTGCGAGTGAGAGTGAGGTGAGGCTGCAAAAGCCAATTATTGTGTATATGCTTTTCTGCTGCTGGTTGATTGGTAAGTGTAACTGTTATATTGATTGGCTTGTTAAAGCTGCAAACAAGTCACTGCCCTTATGCCTGTTTGACGATGACAGAGGAAGTATTGAGCAGCGATCGATATCCACTGATTTGCAGTCCTTGTCCTTGTGGTGGACAACCTTTATTCATGTGGCCCCCTCCGGTTTGCGGCTGCAGGTTGAAAGGTGGGATATTGGTGTTTTTCTTGAACACATAACAGACTGCACAGCAGACAAACTCTTGCCTTGAAGTTTTTGGATTCTTTTGCCATCAATGAAATACAATGCAAGCATGAAGGCTGGATATCACTGTGGGCCTTCCATGCAGCAGTTCGTTTCGTTTTGCACAGTGCTGTCCCAGCCAAGTTGTGTTTGTTGTGGAGCTTTCTTTCTCCCTTTCTCTGGCTTCTCTGACGTCCTGGAGACCACTCTGAATGTGTGGCGATTGCAGACCCAACACTCCCCAACAGGTGCCGCAATATGCTATTTTCAGAGTGAATGTATGCCTGCAGGGAGTATGAAGGATGTCACAGTGGTTGCCAAATGTGCTCCCAAACCTCTCGTCCCCAGAGCAGGCAAAGAACACAGGTCCCCAGAGCTGTCTTCTCAATATGTGTCCTAAAGTGGAAAACGTGATAAAATAGCACAATACAGTATAGTCGATGAGGACATCCAAGAAAGTTGCTGGCATCCAGAATGAAATTGACGATCTGTTGCTGCCTATTTGCAGGCAAAGCGTTTCGATAGCCGCTGTGAGGAGGTTCTTCAAGCAGCAGCATCTGTTTTTGCTGATGCCGCCCCTGAGTTTGGGTCTCTCCCAAGCGTGTGCCGGCGTCTTGGAGAATGGAAGGCTCGGTACCCAAAAGCCTATCGTGATGCGTATCTGTCCACAAGTCTGCCTGCGCTCATTGCACCATTTGCAAGGCTGGACCTTCTTCGATGGCATCCGATATTTGGTCACGATGTCGGTAAGTCAGCCAGTGTTATAGTAATTCTGTGAGTCTGCCAGTATATGATAAGTAAGTCTGCCAATCTTTACTGTATATTTAGGCTGTAGGGTATTTGTTGCTGAGGTTACGGGCTTTTGGAAGTTTGGGGGCTATTTGCTGACATACAGGAGTTCAGCAAGAAGACTGCAGTGCTATTGGGTGCTTTAGTCTTTGCATATGAAAGATATTTGCATCGCTGTTGCAAATGGGACTGCCCTTGTCAACGGATGCACTGCAGGTCAGAGCATAGTTTTTGCAGGTGCTGTTGTGTTCTGGAATTTTCACAGCAAGGATCCCACACTTTGTGCACCAATTTATGACAAATTGCTCCGTATCGATCTCTTGTTGAATGCTCAAAGGCAGGGTTGTGCGTTGTGTGCTGATGCTGGTGAGAACCGATTTTGGTGCCTTCTTTACTCTTTGTCACACTGTCAACAAGCGTGCAGATCCCTTCCCACGGGTCTGAAACGCATTTTGTTAGTCACTTCCCATGGTTACTTGCAAGCAACATATGCTAATGGACCTGAACGGCAGTGGATTGAGACTTGGTTGGCTTGGCTTCATCAGCCAAGAGGTGGTGTTGCCCCCTTCTCATGGTGGGTGGGATCCAAGGCTTCTTGTTGATTTTGGGATGATCTGGACATTCCGAGTAAGTGGAAATTGTCATTGATGGGAAAAGTTCCGTATTAGGACAAGAATTGTCAGCTGCAGACAAGCACTGTGGTTTGATGGGCATATGTCCCCTGTTGCAATGATGGTGCAAGTCTGTGTTCATCACTTTGTGACAAGTTTATTGCTTTATTACTTCAAGCATTGAATAGTCCTGATACAGGCTCGGGGCCTGCACGTGCTGGTGCACTATTTTTGTGCTTGACACAACGATGAGTCAATTCTGCAGTGCATGGTTGAGCTCCAAACTGCTCCTCACTAACTGTGGGGATGTCGTTTCTGTTCACCCCAGCACTTGAAGGAATTGCAAGTAGTATCCATTGAATCTGCTGTCAGCGACGATGCCTGTTTGTCACAAAATTTGAGTCTTGGAAATTGCCTTCTGCGGTGTGCCATGTTGACGTCCATCGCACTTGCTGGGAATGGTTGTGCTGTGGCCTTGATAGGGAAGTTGGTGCCTTTTCTGAAAGTTGCTGCATACATTCAATTATTATGTTTATCATATTTGTTCAGTTTCATTTGTCACAAAAGGACAGAGTGCAGCCTCTGCCCCTGACAGGCGATGATGGCTTGAATCCACACATGATGTTCACTTGACATCGTTTGTTCACATTTGCTTCTCTTGTCAATCAGAAGATTAGAAGGACAGGAAAAAGAACGCAGATTTCCACCGCATGGACTACCCCATATCCCTCAATGCCTCCAGTGTCCAAGTACTGTTGAAGTCAAGGAGAACTGCCAAATATCCTGTAGACAGTGTTTCTGTCAACACAGTCCTTTATGCACGTGGACAACAGCAACTCTACATAGGATTTTGGGACTCTGCTAACTATCTGACCCTTAGATAGTTCTGTCCTGAAACTGAAGGAAAAGCAGGTTTACTGTTTTGTGCATGTGTGTTGAGTTGCCGCAAGCCACAGGATGCCCATCTTGAGAATGTGTTTGCATTCCACTGCAGGTTTCGATTCCCAGCAGTGGTACACCGAATTGGATATGTACGGCCAGTCACAGCCAGTGAATCCTGTTGACAGCACCGAACAGGCTGCTGGCTTGGTGGCTGAGGACCCAGACGGTGACCTGGTGCCACAGCTGGTTAGTAAGCTTGTGTTGCCCTTGGCCTCTCATATGCTTACAAAGTAAGATGGAATCGACCATCGAACGTTGCAGTGTCTTGTGGAGCGCAGACGGTGCCCTCTGACCTCCTGTGCTGAACTATTTGGCAGATGTCCATGTGGGCGATTGATGCTGTTGCTTGAATATGCAGAATTTCCTTTCTGGGCTGTTGTGCAGGAACACAGCCAACCAGCAGTTTGGTGGGACAGGTCTTCTTCTGATTTCTTTGCTTTGTTCCAAAACCTTTTGTGTAATGAAGACAACGATGAAGATTGTGGGGATGAATCGCGCGTGCCATACCCATGTAGTTGAAAGTACTGTGATCTATCATTGTCTATGCCATTAGGTGCACTCAGGTCATGGCTTCAGGCCAAAAAATGGCATTTATGTTTCTAACAGATTTGAAGGGTTATGCAAGCAGATGGCTCAGAGCTGATGTTGCAAAATGCATGTTACCTTCTTTTACAGAGCAGTTTGAGTCTTGTTCACCTTACAGTTTGAGCGGTTGAGGTGCTGGGCTAATCAACCCGCTTCTCATTCATGCCCTTTGTGCCCACAGGTGCTGGTGCCCTGAGGACTTGCAACAGACACGAATGGCAGTGGAGATGCTGCATGAACTGCTGGTGTATGTGCCGGCAGACAATCCAGAACTTCAGGCCCTGGTGACCTCAGTTCGTGACAAGTTTGGCAAAGCAGTCGACAACTGTGCGGTTCCAGTCTGGCCAGCAGCAGCCATCGCGGCATCCCAACCTGCAAAGGCTGTCGTGCATGCAAGGTGTGTTTTCCTGGCAAAGTTGAACATGTGCAAAGGTAGATATATACTATACAAGAAGAAACAAGGAAAACTATGGTAAAAGAGCTAACGGACAATCTGGCATGGATGCCGTATTGTGGATTTTTGGGAGATTTTCACATCCAAGTACTCGGTGATTTGAACTTTGCAGCATTGCGGGTAGCTTCGTTTGAAGCAATACAGGTGCATCGGCTTGGTCAGGAAGATGGCTTGACATTCAGTTGCGTGCCAAAGTTTGTTGAGGACAACAACTGAATGGCATGTACAAGTGCAATGCTCCTGCTGTGCTGATATTTTGCCAACATGTCACAACCACAGTCAATCTGTCAAAGCTCCGAATGCAAGGTGCTTCAACAACAACCTCCATTAGGCAAGGGCTGTGTGAACAAGATTTGGAACAGAGGTACACTGTGTTTCATGCGATCGCTGTGTCATGACTCATGACACAGTGACAGCATTAAGCACAATGATTGTCTGTCGTGAAATTCAACAAACGTGCACCCCAGCCTGATGTTTCTCTGCCACAAACCTATACGACTTTTGTGTGTATTGGGCAACTCGTGCACCATTCAGCCCCTCGAGGTGTGCCTATGCCTTCATTCTGGCACATGATAGTTTCCTGTGAGGATCGGGTCAAATTGCTCAAGAATGTGGAGTGCATTTATATTGCAGTGACATGGATTACCAGTGGAGCAAACTTGCAGTCACAGATGTGGTTTGATGCCAGCTGTCGCCACTGAGTCATAGTTTGATCTAGAATAGCCGCTTGACCTTTCAGAGTTGAATGCATTGTCACACACAGGCCCCTGCCTTTTCGCTTGAATTTGTGTAGGTGTATTTTGTTGCAGCAAGAAGGGAAACATACCCAAACTGGATTGCCTTCCACAGGCACCTCCAAGCATGTCACCTAAGGGCCACTGCCTCTGCTCATTCGTCAATCGGTTGTCTGAGATCGAGCATACATACACATGGTTTGTGATACAGGGGACTAGAGCACAGTATTGGTAGACAGTACTGATGCGAAGTACTGATGCACAGACAATCCTGAAACTTTCGGGATCAAGTCAACATGACCAGTGCCGGAGCTGTGGCACCCAATTGTGCGGAAGGATGCCATACGATGCATTCCAGTAGATGATCGTTTTGCATGTTGGTGGCTTGCGGTGGTGCTTCATGTTGCCGTAGTGCTGTTGTGCATGTGGTCCACAGTGTGCCACGCTGATCGTGGCTCTGCCTGAAGGCTGGTCAATATGCTAGTCAATATCCAACAATAGATAGACTTCCATCAAATACTGTAGATTCTAAAATGTATTCTTGTTGCCACAGGTTCTGCAGATCTGTGCACCTGGCGGCAGGCCTCTGCTCATTTTGCGACATCCTGCCATCCAAATTCCTTCAAAGCATGGTGCTTGAGACACTCATTGGCAGACGGCTGGTCGCCCACCTGCGGGGTGGCTTCAGCAACGTTGCTGCAACAACAGCGAAGTTGGCCATTTTGGTGGACATGATGCCTTCTGACTGGTTTGGCTCAGGTGAGCATGACAGAATATCCTGTCTGAGTGGCCAGACGATCGCATGTTATCTGCTAACTACTAACAGTCCACAGTACCTATATTGCCCAAAGGGCGCGATGGTAGTAGAACACCGTATCATGGCTCTTTGGTCGATAATGCACTGATCTAGCAGCATCTCAGTTGCTCATGCAGGCTGAGAAGCTGTTTCTAGACACTCCGTCTTCCATACAAGGGTGAACATGGGCAGAGATCCAACGTATTTTCTTAATTTCTTTGTGGCAGCAGTGCGCCGTTGGTTTGTTTTGTTCCTCTATGTTTATTTGATTGATACAGAACCTTGCCAACCTGCGCGCGTCATTCAAGCCTCAGCATTTCATAGTGTTCACCAATATCTTGAGTGTTCTATGAGTGGTTGCCCAGCTCGAAAGAGCTCTGAGGATCCCTTGTACTACCCCAGAGTTCTGCAAATCTTACAAACTCTGTTTACATTGTGGTACCCATCTGGTTTACTATCGAAGTTTTAACAGTATGTGTTTGAGAGCACTGCTTGTTGTGATTCATGCATTTTTCCATCGCCAAGGATCTGGTGATTGAGACTCCGACTGCAGAATTCTTCAATCTCATTTCATCAGACGGTTTGCTGCTCGAGGTGCACTTTCCAAGCATTGCAAGGTCCCTCAAGGCCACCAGAAAACTGCTAGAGAACTCACACTTGGTTGATGATCGGAGCTCAGCACAGACATTTGCCGTGACCTGTGTGTCGTCTTTCTTGCTGTGTCGTCTTTCTTGACATTCATTCATTCAGCTGTTTGCGTGCCGATTCTCACACAACTGTGGCCGTCTGATGTGGTATTCAGTGCCTAATACCCTTGGGTGAACAAGCTTTGGCACTGTTGTGACACGCATGTAATTAATGGAATTACACCCTAATGTGGCTCGTCTGCAGCGACGAGAACTTGCATGGGCAGCGACGTCTGCCGAAACTGCAGCGTTTTTGGTAGTGTGGGTTTGGGGGTACTCTCAATACAAGGGAGAAGACGCTAAAAGCGAAAAGGTTGCAGCACTAATGGGAACCTGTGTGACGGCCAGGCATCCCAAAGGAAGCTGCAGGCCTGCACGAGCTGCTGTCGTCCTTTGCCCGTCACCTCGAGGGTCAGCGCGTAGAGGCGCTTCGGCACAACAAGGGCGAGGTGACTGCAAGTGCGCTCAGGCTGGCCTCCATGCTGTCCAAGGTTGGGGACGATCAACTCAGCAAGCGGCTTGCTCGCATGTTTGGTGGGGACAGGTGAATGGGCGAAGCGGTGGCGAATGTGTTACTGCCTGTGTGTCTGAATTGTTGGCGTGGCTGCCATCTGTGAGCAAGGGCGTTGATCGAACGACTGCGTGCCAATGATGATGGCTGGAAGAAGGGGCTCCAAGTGTGGGGGGGCGCAGCATGTGGAGGGATCGAGACGGCCTCTTGGCAGGGGGGACGTTGTAATGGATTGTACACATTGGTGTGTTGCTTGGATTGCTGTTTGTTGGCAGTACACAGCAAGACAAAGGCCTTGATCTGTCCAGGTGTCGGCAGGTGCAGCAACATCAATCAGTGTTTGATTGGATCTAAGTTGTTCAGCTTGTGCACTTCTGGAGCCGCCATTTTGCAGGCGTCAGCCCTGGGGTCAACTCGGTCTGTGAGTCGAGCACGCACAATTGAACACAGCCGAATAAGAACGGTCCCAGGACTGGAGTAACAAAATGCAGTGGACCAGAGGACGCAGCTTGATTATCCTACTTCACCTAAAAGGGGGCATCACCATGCAAAATTTCACAAGGGTGGTGTGGCGCACGATTCCACCGCACTTTGTCAGTCTGTAGAACATTGTAACACACAAAACTGTGACGCGCTTGCCACCTCCGCGCCGACAATGGCCTGTGGGAATCAAAGGCAGTCATGGTCTGTGGTTGTCTTCATTCGCAAAAACCGAGAGGGGCAAGCGGGCACGGGGGCAAGTGTTTGCAGCACAGCCAGCGCATGGCCACCAATCAGTCCCAAACAATCAGCGCCTTCGACCGCGCCATTTCGCCGCGGCCAAGAGGCGTACGAAGCCCCTGGTCATGAAGGCCAAAGATTGCCCGCTCCCACAGAGAAGGGTGCAAAGGAAGGCGGTAGGAATGATAGCGACTGAACCCAGAGAAACGAGAAACAATGGAAGGAATAATTTGAAGGATGGGTTCGACGACAGGCGTCCCCTAAGGGTGGAGCCGGGGGGGGGGCGCGCGCCAGGGGTCAAGGGATGGGCAAGGAGAGGTTGGGAGGCGGAAATGCGAATGACCGCGCGAAGGTAAAGTAGCTGTCCGATCGGTGTTTGAAGCAAGCCATGGCCCATGGCCTGTAGGGATGAAGTCTCCTTGAAGAAAGCTTGAGCTGAGCGGTCCTCCTGACCAGTTGCGACTGCGATTGCGGGCTTGTGAGGTAAGCAGAGGGCCAATGCCGTGTGCCATGTTGCGGTACATCTGCTGGCGCTGAGCTGGAATAAAGCTGCTTCGAATAGCGGCTTGATTCCCCGCACACGAAGGCGGGACGGAAAAGGACGGATCGCACAAACTCTCATTCACGGGACGGTGTAGCCTTTAATTCGTGGAAAGTCGGAAGATTTGATGGATTTATACCAGTATCCCAGCCATTCGGACCTATGCGGATGTTTGCCGTCAGTAGGAGGATATCCAACTTGTACTTTTCAGCTGTCGCAGATGACAGCGTTCCAGCACATTAGTTGAGTGTGTGCATTTCTCCTGTCCGCCACCCTGGTAGCCCCTTGGCGCAATTGAAGGCACCAGACAGGATCAATTGCGCAGCACAGGCACTGCTGCGAGGCCATCGTTCTCAGCCACTGACAGAGTAGAGACTCTGCAGATTGGAGCCCATTCCTAGCAGGCATAGACAGCAAAAAGTTTATTTGAACCTTTGAGACAGAGAAACCTACAGGGACAGCATGCTAAAGATGCCCTACAAAGTTTCCCGCTGGTGCGTTCTGCATGACAGCGCAAACCAAATTTCTGTCCTGAGGCCGCAGAAGGCTCTAGTCTGAAAGAAACGAGACATTATAAATGGTGTTGAAACTGTCACAGGGGTCATATCTATCCATCCCTCCGAGCATTAATGTCAGCAACTCGACAGCTAGCACCAGTAGGCAACGGCATTTTTGCGATGCCAACCCCGACGGCATTTGACAATAATTGATGCCACGATTGATGGATACTTTATGCCATCGCTGTCAGAGAGTGATGGCGTCAAATAGTTTCAAAATGGCATCACGGTAGGCATCTCAGAAATGGTGTTTTCTGCTAGTGTACGTATCCAATGCTTTTTCAGGGCCCTCACGTTGTGAACTGTCACATCACCGCACGGTGATCAGATTGATGCAATGCATTCAGCGCCATGATAAAACACTACAGTACGTTGACAATGAAAATATACACCGTAAAAAATGTGAGTTTTCAAATTCAGACGGATCTCAGTCCCTCGATCGCACTTTGAGTGGAGCGTACACAAGTGAGCTGCGGGGTTTCACAGCTCAATCACCCCAAAAACTTAACGAGGCTGCCCTTGATCTTTGCAGCACCAGGGTTGCTTCTGACTGTTTTCTCATGATGAGATGCCAGGCGTCGAAAGCGCACTTGGGACGTTCAGCATTGCAATGCAGGTGCTACTACAATAATTGCTGGTCATAGCCAACGTCAAGAAATGTCAACCTCTGTGGAGAAAAGTTGCAGACAACTCATCTCTTTACATTGCTTTTAATTACTTTGCCATTACTTCCTGAAAGGTGGTTTTCCCAGCTGCCATGAGGAGTCCCTTTCCCTTCCATGATATTATGTGGGGTTTTAGTTCAGGATTTCATAGGAAACACAATGGAGCACACCGAACTTATCCAAACATGGATTACAGTTGCCACTTGGCACACAAGTGAAACCGCCATACTCCTTGCAATCTCTTTGCTACCCCTTTTCTATTTGGACGAAAGGACATTACTGTCGCATTTCGGGGAGGTCTATTGCTGTTGATGCACAGATCAGATGAGGCTACTTCTGGCAATGTACCACGATGGTGCATTGGCGTCGATGACTATGTGGTACTTCACCACCCAGGCGATTTCCAATCGGGCGACACAGCGATCCTCCGCGAAGTCGACGATTCTGGCGGGGAGCAGTTTGTGACGGTGCTGGTCACGGGTGTGGGAGCGCGCGGGGGGACGATCCCCGGAGATTCGCAGGAAGGAACGGACACACTTCAGGTGGAGGTGACCGACGGGCGGACCAGCAAGCTTGTTGCAACCTCTGCACTGCAACGCATCGACGGTACCCGCAGCGCTGATCGAGCGGCTGCAATCACATGCCGCTGCGGAGCCCTCTGCCCCTTCCCCGACACCCCAGCTAACGGCCACTGAGCCTTGGGCTTGGCTCTCACCCGCCGGGCTTTGCGCGGCGGAGGCGCGGGTGATCCCCATCCCACAGGCTGCCGTGCCTCACCTGGTGGGACGCGGTGGTCATTCGATCGCGAAATTGGAGCAATCTTTCGGTTTGATTGTGGGTGTGTCGGACGAGGCGGGCGGGGGAGCGAGCGTGACATTGTTCGGTCCTGAATCTCGGCTTGGGTGCGCGGAGGCTGTAGTGCGATGTGTGGCGGGGGGTGGCAGCTCACTCCTTCGCCACCTTCCATCCATTTTTGCATGGTAATCTCTGGGGATCCGTCATGGTTCTGGCATGACATGGTCGCTACGGTTTAGTATCATAGGATGGTTTTATTCGAGCAGCTGAGTGCAATCTGGCCTTCTCTTTTCCGGCTCAGTCTGACCATTCTGTGCGGCTCGTATTGCTTGGTATGGCTCTGGATTTAATTGGTTTTAAGTTTGCACAGGGGTGATCGATTTGCGCGCGAAGTGGCTAAATTCAGAAGGGGTTGATACATCGAAACTGTGCACTCTGGTTTGGACACATTGCGGCCGATTGGGAGCTTTTCTGAGCTCAGCGAGTGACCGCATTTGCGCAATAGAGGTGAACGAGGAAGAGGCTATCACTCTGATTCTTGGCTTGCAGATATTTTCTCTTGTTTTTGTGGGGGAGTTTCCTGGGGTTCGGTGGCAGCTGTGGCCGCCATTAGAGGCGTGCTTTCGGATATAGAGTTGGGCCTGGACGTGCCTTTCGTACACTGGATGGTACGCTACATTGATCGATGCCGTGACGTCATGTCGATGCATCCATGTAAGGAACAAACAAACAAACAAACAAACAAACAAACAAACAACTTCCCGCGCGCTCCCGCTCCCCCCCTCGCGCCCTCGGGGGCGGCGCGGCTGCTCGCCGCGGTTGGCTGCGCTTGTCCGCCCCTGACCGGCCCCTGAGGGCTCTCCGAGGGTGGTTCCTTCTGATTGGTCGGGTTTTCCTTCACCCGTTTGAATGGCAATGGCTGGATCGTCACATCCGCGGCTGCGCGAGTCCCCTGGTGGAGGAGCTCCGACCCCGCCTCGCTGTGCGGGGGACACGCCCCTCTTCTTGCTAAAGGCTGGCGCTCTTCGGCGCCCTTACCAGCCGGGGAAGCCGCTGGTCGAGCTTCGGGATAGAACCGCAATGGGCGTGGAGTTTTTGGAGAGCATGGCGAAGTCCGATTTGGCGGCCGAAGGTTGCATCTTTCCGCTTGACGGCGGTGCGCCCATCGTTCCTCGGGCAGGGGCGCGACACGATGGTCACTCTGGCGCTGCATCTGCCCTTTGCTCGCCGCCTCTTTCTGTGGCTCAATCGCGCGGCGAGGTCGCCACGCCTCGTTCGCATGCATGCAGGCCTTGCGAACGCAATTCCGTTGGCCCCAATGCAGCGCCGTCGCGGATGGCAAGGCCGCCTGCTCAGCGCGACTCGGACTCCAACGACTCAGACATGGCGGACTCTGGCTGGCGCTCTTCCCCGCCTGCGTCTACACAAAGCAATTTCCAATCGGGCGACACAGCGATCCTCCGCGAAGTCGCCGATTCTGGCGGGGAGCAGTTTGTGACAGTACTGGTCACGGGTGTGGGAGCGCGCGGGGGGGGCGATCCCCGGAGATTCGCGTGAAGGAACGGACGCACTTCGAGTGGAGGTGTCCGACGGGCGAACCAACAAGCTTGTTGCAGCCTCCGAGCTGCAACGCATCGA